CAAGGGGAAAACTTTACTCTGAGTCTCTTCCAGCTCACTTCTTGCTATCCCATCACTGCTTTCCCACCTCTACCTGTGTTTACAATGCCCACTAGAAAAATGACAGTCATGGAGGCCTCTTCTATTGTAATACATGTTTGAAAATGAACCCTTTCCTAGAATGATCTCACCATTTTGTAGTCACTAACATAACCTGTTTTACTTTGACAATGCAGTTTTCCTTGTATTGAAGTCAATACCTTTGGAATCAATGGAAGAAAAACACTCACCCTACCCTGCACTCTACCACTGTGTCTCTTCCTCCACACAGTTGGCCGTGAGCCATAGTTTCACCTGTCTGCTCTTTCCTTACCCTGTTTCTGTAGTTTCCTGACCTCCAGAGTGACTCTTACCCTGCTCACAGACTTCCTTTGGATCCTACTTTCTGGAATATCAACATTTATATTTATGACACTATCAAAATCTTGCCTCATGACCACTTGCTGCCTTCAACCTGTTAAAATCACATGCAGACCCACCTTATTACTTGGAATTTTGCCGCTGCCAATCCCCCTAACACTGCCATTCCTTCTGATGACTGACTCCTATTCTTGTATCTCTCCTTCCTTCCTAGCCTATTGGGCTCCAGGCTTGCACCCTTCCTTATTCTTTCATTGGCCCATTTCTACTTTCTCTGGCTTTCCTATCCAGCCTGTGCTCTTTGGAAGGCATTTTAGCAATGCTTGTATTAGTCTCATATATTGCTTCTCATCTCATTTTGTATCTTACTAGAAACTTGTCCTCACAACTCAGGTTCAGCTCACCATCTACATCTTCCCTCTGTGATTCTACTCTCACACTGCTCAGGGTTGGTGAAAGAACACCATAACCAAGACTCTTGGGCCCTCTTTTCAGTCATGTTATCCAATCATGGCTGGTGCTTAGGGAGTCCCATTTTCCTCCCTCCTTCATTTCTCTAAGTTATTATCCTATATCTTCTCTCATTTTCCACATCTTTGTGCCTGCTCCAAGTAGACAACATGTTAAATTAATGAAAACAATTACATACTCTCCCAACCTTCTCTTCTTTCTCTTACTTTACTGACAAGTTTTAGGACATGTAATCAGTAATAATTCCACTGAAAGCACCACCATCAATCCAGATACCCATGACAAACACCTGGGTACTACCACATATTTAATCAGTTACTAGCTTCTGGCAGTTCTGCCATTTTATTCTCTAGGATATATCCAGTTTTCATTGCTCTTGTCGCGTAGTGGCTAAGGCATTTGACTGCTAAGCAGAAGGCTGGCAGTTCAAACCCACCAGGTACTCCTCAGAAGAAAGACTGGGCAATCTACTTCTGTGGCCTCTGAAACCCAAGCAGGGGTCACTATGACTCAGATCCAACTTGACGGCAGTGAGTTTG